AAGTTGGATAGAGGTTATATTTTAGTCCTTGGGAGGAGAGACATGGTGATGGGAAAGTGTGCAATCTACATTACTGTTATAATTGATTTGATCTGGAACAATTACCCTAGGAAATGACACAGATGTTTGATGTCAATAAAAAAATATGGCGCAGGTTGACTAACAGTATATGTGAACACAATCATAAAATCTCCCATCAGCTTTACTGTAATTTCAGAAAGCATTGCCAATCATTTTAAATACTTGGCAATCCTGCCATTAAGGTCCTTGTTAGGAACTTCCTGTTATGGGGTGACACTCTGTCCCTGTCTCCTGTCACACAGCAGACTTCAGATAGAGACAACGCCTTACACAGACATTGTCAACTGTTGTCACTATCAGAAAACTGAGAAATGCCCTACAGCCACCACTGGAGAGCAAGAAGACAGGAAGTGGCTGCAAAGAGGTTGCAAAAATTCAGCAATGCTGAACCAGACACTGACCACCACTATAAGGGGGCAAGAAGCTGACCATTAATGTAAGAGGTCACTGATATTGAACACCAATGTAAGGGGGCATAGACAGTGACCGCCAATGTATGGAGGCACAAACACCAAGTGGGGTGAAAGCATTAAACACCACTGAAGAGAAAAGAAGAGAAAAAGATGAAATATTTTATTTCAAAAATGGAAAGTGTTGATGCAGTGCTTTTGCAAACCATGGTTTAAGGTTTACTTTTACGACCAAGCAAAACATTGATTTCTTTTAATAGAATGGATAAGGGTTGGAGCCTTGTGTGTGACTATATTGGGGAGATTTTTCATCAAGAAATTAGGGAAGTCGGTGTCACCGGGACAAGACGCAATAGCAATAAAAAGCTGTCAAAGATTCTAACCCTTTTCCACAATTCAAAAAATAAATAATACATTTTTTTTTATCTCTCTGTTCCTGTTGGAGAGCTCTCAGTGTCACAGGCATGGGAAGTGAAGGACAGCGTAGACACAGTCTGCATAAAAAAAAAAATGAGGGCCACTCTTTCTAAACAAAATGTTTTACTGAAGTTAGACTTTTAAGGGGCAAGTAGAAAAAACAATGGCCCCTTACATTGGTGGTCAGTGGTATACAGATTACCTCCTTACAGTTGTGGCTATTGTAAGGAAGATGTCTTCTGTTGCAATGGTATTCAGTGGGAAGAATCCCTCCTACTATATTGATGGTCGATGGAAAAATGTTCCCCATTAAAATGGTAGCCAGTGGGAGAAATGCCCCCGGGTACATATGTAGTCAGGGGGAGTAATGCCTATTACAAATGTGCAATGGATTGACTAGCTAAATGCTAGCTGATGACACAAACTGTGGATGACCAATGTGAGGGGGGCACAGACACTTACAACCAATGGCAATGTAAGGTGGCGCAGACACTGACAACCAATGGCAATGTAAGGTGGCAAAGACACTGACCACCAATAGCAATGTAAGGTGGCACAGACCCTGACCACCAACGGCAATGTAAGTTGGCACAGACACTGACCACCAACATAAGGGGGCACAGACACTGACCACCAACATAAGGGGGCACAGACACTGACCACCAACGGCAATGTAAGGTGGCACAGACACTGACCACCAACAGCAATGTAAGGTGGCACAGACACTGACCACCAACGGCAATGTAAGGTGGCACAGACACTGACCACCAACATTAGGGGGGCACAGACACTGACCACCAACATAAGGGGGGCACAGACACTGACTACCAACATAAGGGGGGCACAGACACTGACCAGCAACATAAGGGGGGCACAGACACTGGCCACCAACATAAGGGGGGAACAGACACTGGCCACCAACATAAGGGGGGAACAGACACTGGCCACCAACATAAGGGGGGAACAGACACTGACCACCAATGGCAATGTAAGGTGGCACAGACACTGAACCCCAAAGGCAATGTAAGGTGGCACAGACACTGACCACCAACATCAGGGGGGCACAGACACTGACCACCACTATAAGGGGGAAGAAGCTGACCATTAATGTAAGAGGTCACTGATATTGAACACCAATGTAAGAGGGGCATAGACAATGTAAGGAGGCACAAACACCAAGTGGGGTGAAAGCATTAAACACCATTGTGCTGGGGCACAGATACTAGTTACCAATGTAAAGGGGGCAATGACCACGCTGATCACGGATGTATGGTGGCATGGTGAGCATTAATGAAAAGAGCACATTGACCAACAACCAAGGGAGCACATACTCTTGATCAATACACTCTGGAAGCTGTGCAATCACATAGTCCCGTCCCTCTGCACAGTGTAGGCTACACAGTATGCGCGGTTTTGCATTACATAATCTTAACTGCTGCACTTTACATGCAATGTTGTGTGTATATATATATATATATATATATATATATATATATATATATATATATATATATATATATATATATATATATATATATATATATATATATATATATATATATATATATATATATATATACACACATATACACACACACACACACACACACCTGATCACCGCACTCTTCACACTACATAGTCCTCACCCCTATTCTCTATACAATACATAGTCCTGAACGCTGCATTATATACACTGTGAGTTGCATATTATACAATGAAGGAGGCACAACGACCTCACAGTCCTGACTCCTATACTGTTTACACCTTCGATAGGTGAGGCCCTCTAGCAGATATCTTTCAATCCAAATTCCTCCAGGCCCTTAGTCAAGCACCTGCTTAGGCCTAACATCAGCTCTCCAGTACACAGACTGCATCCCAGGGGCAGCAGCCCCAGAACAAGAACAATCTTATCAAGCCTATCTAATGTATCTTCTATCTCAACCATCTTCTGGATGCCCCCTCCCAAGGACTGGTTTAGAGCAGATACATATTCATAACAGCAGTGGTTGACCCTCCTACTTTATTCTCTGCAATATTCTTCCAGAGATAGGCAGGAGTAAATCGACCACCAAGCTTAGGGAAACCTGGCCAGACCTAGAAACAGATCACTACTCCACTGAGCACAGCAAAGCCAAGAACTAAAATTTAGCCTAGCTAGTGCAGGGTACTACACAAATAAAAAGACAAGGACCAGAAATAAATATAATGACCTAAAATGGCCATGGTTAGAGCTTAAGGGAAAGAGGGAAGGGTGGAGAAAAGGAGGTCCTGCATGCAATCCCATGGGGTTCCTCACAACATGTTTGGTCCTGTTGCCATTGTATAGGACTTGGATGTCTTGAAATAGACCCTCTGTTCATTTGAAAGCTTTGGAGGGCCTAAAGGTATCCTTGTACATTTACATCCTTGCAGAGCTCAGGAGCCCCAAAGTCCAGGTTCCTGGATATGTGCTTAAACGTGCCTCCTCCCACCTTGTTACTGAACTACCACCATGAAAAGCTTTATTGACCAAATAGTCTATCCCAACTCACCCATCCTCTCTAATTTTCTAGCATTCTGCAGTCTCCTACTGTCCACTACTGGGCACATGTGCTGTAAAACATTAAATAGTAGATGGCTCCTCTTTTGGTCTATATTGGCATTGCAGTGCATGAGAAAATCACATTGTAAATTATATTTTCGGTTTATTTTTTGTATGATGCAATTTTGATAATTTAGTATAATGCACTTTTTGTAATACCTACAAACTGAACAATTGAATTTAAAAATGAATAGAGCAACATCTGAATATAGGAATTACAAGGTATTAATGCATTTTAGATTTTTCTTTCGTTTATATGTGAATCCCACATATTATAGTCTTTGGACGTGCAACCTGATAGTCTGATATTCTTTCTGTGTTCCATGGTTCATATAAATTTTGGTACTCAGTATGCTTGTTACAAAAAAGCACAATTTCCAAAACTCTGTACAAATTAAAAGCTTTTCAGCTAATTAAATATTTTTATACAACACAAGCATATGTTTTAGGGCTCACATTACTTTAAACGCAATACTAAATACTTCAAAGCTGTTTTAAGCTGTTTTATTTAGCTACGAAAATCAATGAACAAGATCATGTGATAATACAGGATGAAAACACTTAGGGAGTGCGCACGCAGCTAGGGGCGTGGACGGTGTGGACGTGATGACGGGCGGTATAACTGTGAGCACACTATAGAGCCGGAGACAGAATAGCCGAGGAGCTTTTGCTTGCAGAATCCTGATCTTGGAATCCTACACCTAATTGGGGAGAGGAGGATCTGTTGCTGCATCCACAGAGGAGGGATCCACCATTCCTGTAACTGGACCAGCTTTATTCCCTTCTGGATTGAGGATCCATGAGCTCTAGATGCACACTGCGTTTATGTGTCTTGCTTCTGGTGAGTGCGTTTTTCAGCCGTTTCCACACGGATCACCAATTTTGAATCCTCATTTGTCACTGGACACGTTCTTATGACCAAGACTTTTAGTGGACTTATATCTGTCTTATTATCACTACCTTTAGCGCTGCACTATTTTTATGTTAATCTTTTTGTGGTAGTTGTCCTTTAACCACTAGCCTACTGGGCACTTGTACCCCCTTCCTGCTCAGGCCAATTTCCAGCTCTCAGTGCTGTCACACTTTGAATGACAACTGCGCGGTCATGCAACACTGTACCCATATGAAATTTTTATCATTTTTTTGTGACAGATAGAGCTTTATTTCGGTGGTATTTAATCACCTCTGGGTTTTTTATTTTTTCATAAACAAACCAAAAACCACTGAAAAGTTTGAAAAAAAAAAAAGTTTCTTAGGTTTTTGTTATAAAATGTTGTAAATAAGTGATTTTTCTCCTTCATTGATGTGCGCTAATGAGGCTGTAGTGATGGCCACTGATAAGATGCACTGATGGACACTGATAGGTGGCACTGATGGGCACTGATGAGGAGTCACTTGTAGGTGGCACTGATGGGCATTGACAGGCATTACTGATGGGCACTGAAAGGCAGCACTGATATATGGCACTGACTGGCACTGATAGGCAGCACTGACTGGCACTGATAGGCAGCACTGACTGGCACTGATAGGGGGCACTGATGCGCACTGATAGGTGCCACTGATTGGCAGCACTGATAGGTGGCACTGACTGGCACTGTTGGGTGACACTGAAAGGCAGCTAAGACGGGCACTGATGTGCACTGATAGGCACTGATATGTGGCATTGATGTGGCACCGATGGGCACTGGCAGGTGGCACTGTTCATCACTGACAGCTGGAACTGATTGACACTGACAGGTGGCACTTCTAGGGCCACACTGATCATCAGGGCACACTGATCATCAGTGCCCTGATGATCAGTGTACCTGTCCCCTCCGCGGAATGCCGATTACCAGCTCTCCTCTCCTCTCGAGCTGTCAGCGTGACAGCTCGAGAGGAGAGAAATGCTGATAACCGGCATTTCCCTGTTTACATGTGATCAGCTGTGATTGGACACAGCTGATCACATGACTGAGCCGACATCTTTGGCTCTTTCCGTGGTTCGGGGATCTGCTGTGTCCGAGGGACACAGAGCAGCGCCGATCGCTACGCTGCGCGCTCCGAGCCGTGCATGCGCGGTGAGAATGGAAGGATGTCATATGACGTCCTATCAGAACGATAGAACTACCTTGCGCCCGTCATTGAACTATATGGCAGGCGGGAGGTGGTTAAATTGTTAAAGTAAACAAAGAGTGCCATTATGCTTAACCTAGGAAATAATCTGAATAAAAGTGATGTTTTAAGTTGGCCTTCTTGGGTGAGAGACTGAATTCTCCATAGTATTGCCTTACAGGGTTATCCAAGAGGTGTGAATGGGACAAGGTGACAGAAAAGGACAAGTGACTCAAAGCTAAGGTTGCTACAGAACGTGTAGACCAGAGATAAAAGTGTGATTGCAGATTGTACTACAGGGGAAAGGTTCAGATCCCCCCTCTTCTACCTGCAATTTATTTTTATTATTTAGGATTTATATAGCACCATCAGTTTATGCAGCGCTTTACAACGTAAGGGCAGACAGTACAATTACAATACAATTCAATCAGAGGCCCCTGCTAGTTACAGCTTATTATTTCAAAATTTACACCAAGCTTGGCTCTTCTCACTTTGTATGTACAGAACAATATGGACACTAAAAATCACACTATTTAGCTTTAATCAGGGCCTACAAATGAATGATATTTTCTAAGAAACTAATTTCACCCCAACAACAACTGTGTCACAACTGATACTGCCCTTCATACATATGGGGCATGGCTGGGGATGCATTCCTCTCCTACCTGTTCCTATTTTAGAGGGATAGATAGATGCGCAGACAGATGGATGAAAAGATAGTTTTTAGTGTCATTTAGATAGAAATTGATAGCTCTGTCTCCTTGTTATCTATCTCTCCTCGGTCTCCCCCAGCTCCTCTCCTCTTTCTGTTTCCCTCTCTCCCCATATGGAAGAAAAATATATTTGAAATATATTTTTAAAATATTCTTCCCAAAGATATTGCCATATATTTAAAAGGCTACAGTTTTGGCCATATTCAATATATTTCAAAATATATTTCAATAAACAAATATATATACACACACATACAGTGAGGAACAGAAGTATTTGAACACCCTGCGATTTTGCAAGTTTTTCCCACTTAGAAATCATGGAGGGGTCTGAAATTCACATTGTAGGTGCATTCCCACTCTGAGAAAAAGAATTTAAAAAAAAAAAAAAAAAAAAAAAAAAAAAAAAAAAAAGGAAAATCACATTGTATGATTTTTAAAGAATTTATTTGTCTTGCATTGCTGAACATAAGTATTTGAACACCTAAGAAACAGCAAGAATTCTGGCTCTTAAAGACCTATTACTGTGCCTTTAAGAAGTCCACCTCTACTCCGCTCATTAATCTAACTTAGTAGCACCTGTCTGAGCTCTTTAAAGACACCTGTCCACCCCACAGTCAGTCAGACACCAACTACTACCATGGGCAAGACCAAAGAGCTGTCAAAAGACACCAGAGACAAAATTGTGGGCCTCCACAAGGCTGGAAGGGGCAATTGCCAAGCAGCTTGGTGAAAATAGATCAACTGTTGGAGCAATTGTTAGAAAATGGAAGAGGCTAAAGACGACTGTCAGTCTCCCTCGGACTGGGGCTCCATGCAGGTTCTCACCTCGTGGGATATCACTGATAAGAAAGGTGAGGAATCAGCCCAGAACTACAAGGGAGGAGCTGGTCAATGACATGAAGAGAGCTGGCACCACAGTTTCAAAGGTCACTGTCGGTAGAACACTACGCCGTCATGGTTTCAAATCATGCATTGCACGGAAGGTTCCCCTGCTCAAGTCATCACATGTCCAGGCCCGTCTGAAGTTTGCCAATGACCATCTGGATGATCCAGAGGAGGCATGGGAGAAAGTCATGTGGTCAGATGAGACCAAAGTAGAACTTTTTGGTCTAAACTTCACTCATCGTGTTTGGAGGAAAAAGAAGGATGAGTTGCACCCAAGAACACCATCCCTAATGTGAAGCACGGGGGTGGTAAAATCATGCTTTGGGGGTGCTTTTCTGCAAAGGGGACAGGACGACTGCACTGTATTAAGGAGAGGATGAATGGGACCATTTATTGTGAGATTTTGAGCAACAACCTCCTTCCCTCAGTCAGAGCATTGAAGATGGGTTATGGCTGGGTCTTCCAACATGACAACGACCCGAAGCACACAGCCAGGATAACCAAGGAGTGGCTCCGTAAGAAGCATATCAAGGTTCTGGAATGGCCTAGCCAGTCTCCAGACCTAAATCCAATAGAACATCTTTGGAGGGAGCTGAAACTCCATGTTGCTCAGCGACAGCTCCGAAACCTGACAGATCTAGAGGAGATCTGTGTGGAGGAGTGGGCCAAAATCCCTGTTGCTGTGTGTGCAAACCTGGTCAAGAACTACAGGAAACGTTTGACCTCTGTAATTGCAGACAAAGGCTTCTGTACCAAATATTAACACTGATTTTCTCAGGTG